GAAGAAGAAGAAGAAGAAGAAGAAGAAGAAGAAGAAGAAAACAAGATGCAGTCCAAGTTAATAATGTCCTTCTACTTTACAAAACATGCAAGTGGAAATTAGATTTAAGGACACCTGAGTACACAATCTTTTAGTCTAAACTTCTATGAGAAGCATAAGTTTAGCTGTCAGTTAATGTGTTGGTTTGCAATAGAAAGAGAAAGAAGGAGCAGAATACATACTTACCCCATGTCTTCCTTTTTACATATCTTGATTTAGCCTTTTGAATTCAAACCTGTGAGATTTCACATGAAGAAAATGGGAGGTCTGCACCAATCTAATGTATGTGTGTGTGTGTGTGTGTGTGTGTGTGTGTGTGTGTGTGTGTGTGTATTTCCACATGGAAGAGTCAGCTGATGGAAAGAAAACTGTGAAATGTTTTTAAAACACATAGGCCAGAATCCTACTGGTATTTATGTATGTTTTGTGTAACTTGTTGCAATTAATGGTAGCTAATTGACAAAGTACTGGGGCATGTCTCAGTCAAAAGCATATTCAGGGACCAACTGTGCAAATAAGATGTGTCCCCAACACCTCATCAAGTATCTGCAATTAGCCACAGCAAGTTACTCAAACTTTATGAAAACAGCATTTCAGTGAGCCAAGGGTTGGTCCCTAACCATGGGAACCTATTGGATCTGATCCTAAACATAGGAGTCATCTGGAGGAGCTGATTGATAAAAGCTAGGTCGAATTTTTAAAGGAGACTCTCTGTCTAAAAACAGAGAGTTGCAATAAATTTATATGTTAGTTTAGACAAGAAGTTGTAAAGACATCAATCTTTCATAAAGGAATAACTGCATTGCTTTCCCCAAAGACTAATGCAATTTTTGCAAATTAATGGTGACTTCCACATAGAAGGTAGCTGGATTCAGTACGAGTCCTCTTTGCAGCTGACTGGACAGGTTTCTTTAGTGTTGCATGAAATTTGGTGATAAAGATAAGAGCTTCTTTTTTATTCTTCAAGATAGACTTTTGGATCTGACTACATTGTGGTACAGATGTACTGAGGTAATGATAAAGTGCCTGGATGAACTCAACCTGAGGTGAGGTGTTCTTACCAACTTTCATTCTGGCAAGGTAACCATGATGTTTTGCCTGTTTTTTTTCCCACATGAGCAGTTCTCCTGGATATATATACAAAAATACTGTTTCCAAATAAATAATTATCCCAGATCTCTCCAAAAGAGACACACTCAATTAATTTTAAGAAATGTGAAAATTTACCATGCAAAGGTAAACGCTGAATCTGAGTCAAGGCTCTTCTATTTAATTTGAACTCTATTCCAGAGGAAGACACATTACAAGTAATAAGATGAGGTTTGTGTTTTAATAGTTCTGGGAAGTCTCTTTTACATTTAAAGAGAAGAACAGAATGTACAAATATATGGCCAAATTTAGATGTTGATTTAATGTACTGATATTTCGTTATTACAAATGTAGTGACTAGGCTTTCTTGCATTGTCCTTATTATTTTAAGGGCAAATAAATAAACATCTATGAGAGATAAAGACTACTAATATGTATGAGTGTGACATTATTATACAGTACAGTATTTCGTTTTGCTTACAGATTACAAATGGCTACTTACGAGAAAAAAATACTGCCCTGCCAGTGAGATTCCACCTTCCGACAAATCACGTCAAAATGCAAATGTTTTTGAAAGCTGTCATGCAGTAAGGGGATCGATTCTCATTTCAAGACACTGGCCATTCCACCACTGGCAAATCCTCTCATTGTCAGTGAGAGAGATGTACATGCATCAACAGGAGGCAAAGATGAGAAAGTGCCCCTTAACATTAGGCAGTTGTTGAGAATGAGGATGGGTGTCTCCTGATTTTCAACCTATTGTAAGAAATTATCTTCCAGGTTCTTCATTTACCTTGTTCAGCTGAAGAAAAAAATCCTTGAGCAGAGAAAACCTTTCATCCTGAAGATGAAATTGTTGTTCTTGTGTGGATAATGGGCATGGAACTGTGATTTGTTATAGACTAATTTATACCAAAAGTGATGGGTCTTTTATCCCAGGCTAGTGAATGTCTTGTTAAATGTGATTTCACTTTCTTTTTTTTTAAGCGTAATGCTTGAGTTGTTTTGTTTCCATTTGGAATTTTGCACTTCTTAATTTTTTTTTTGCAGAAATAGATCATTGGATTATATCTGACATTTAAAAGCCATTCTGGCTGTCAATTGTAACTCATTACATTCATTATATTAATGTAGTTAAATCAATCCAAACTCTACAATCTGTTTTTTCAAGGAGCAATGGAGATTGGTTTGGGGCCTCTTACCTTTGAGATCCTATGGATTATATCCCCATTGCTAATTTAGACAGATAGCTTCTGGTTGTCAGATACAAGACAAACTCTCAGCCTTTAGGAATGCACTTGTGTGAGCTTCTAACACCAGCTGGCCACCCCGACTAAAACTGCAATGTAAACCTGATAGCAATGCATCTAAACAGCTTTCAGTCTTATTGAAGTTAGTAACACAGAAAAAAGTTAACTGATTCGTTTATTCTACTTTTCCTGACCTAAAATCAGTCAGAAGACATGGTATACTTGTTTGGCGCTAACTAGAATAGACCCATTGAAGTGAATGTAATTTGTTATTTACAAGTAACATAGATTTGATCATCAGAGTTGGTTGACAGAGGAATGGAATACTTCAAAAGGTGGCAGATGCTGCTTCAGTAAAATTGGATGGCCATCCTTTAGGGATATTTCATTTATGGATTTCTACATGAGCTGGATCACCCTCAGGATAATGTCCAGTTCTAGAATTCCATGATTTTATCATGGAGTTTATTTCAGTGGGTCTACTGTAGTTGGGACCAACATTGATTTTCTTCTTCACGTTTTTCCTAAAGTGAATCCTGGTGGCAAAGTTGTGTGTGTGAGAGTTGGGGGTGGGTGTCTTGAACAACCCAGTGAAATAAAGATGAAATTATACAAGTAAATTTTCTATTATTGGAAGCACCAGAACAGTTGAAGAATTCTTACAGCACAGAGGGGGCAAATGAAGCTATTAATTGTATTTAAGGCAGGGTAATTCATATAAATGTTTGCAAGCAGTCTAATCTTGTTGATAAACCTCAGAGATCTTTGACAACCAAAGGAAGGTGTCAGATTGAAAGTCTGATTTACCCATTATCCACACAAGATTTATACCTCTATAGATCTATATGTATACATTTATATATATTCATATCCAACAAATTAATGTAACACTTATAGTTATAATTGCACACTATCACAAAACTCACTAAAATGTTCCTACTCACATGCTGTAAATTATTATGAAATAACAATAGAAAACCAAGCCAACCAAATGCACTTTCAATTGGGTTTTAATATAAACATTACACAAGCACACATCAAATTGAGTCCTAGTTAGGGATGAGAAGGTGAAGGCCTGGAAAAAATGAAAGGGACCAAAATCAGTTTGGGGTATATAGAAGGAACCAAGGGAGGAAACACATGTATATTGGGTTTGAAAATGTTACTTTTCGAAGCTCTGGATCAAGGTTGTGTTGGACACAAGTTAAGATGGCTGTCAACTCCCCGAGAAGCAAATTCACATTGGGACTCCTTTTATAGGCATAAAATGGTTACTTCATAGGTGTCAATTAAGCTACCAAAGAAGTAACATCTAGGGTTTGGTGCCCCAGCAAAAAGCAAGATATGTATGTCTGACTGTAAAGATTAACATGTTGAACTAAGGCTTGGGAAACTTAGGTACAGATCCAACTGCAGCCACAAAACTCATTAGCTTACCATAAGCCAGTGGCTTTCTTTCAGCCTAACCTATGGCACAAGGGTAAGATGAAGTGGAAGCGAGAAGAACTATACTGTACATATATGGGACTTCTTAAGACAAGTGTCAGTAAAGACAGGCATTCTCTTTGTGTCATGGAGAAAGAGTTATATTTCTTCCTTTTTACTGCATACTCCTTATGACACCAGAATGTGCACAGACAAGCTTATTTTTGCACTGTGCATGTAACAGAGACAGCAAGGCTGGTGTCATACGGCTGTGCAGCTCTTAGATCATACGTGTGGCATGTGTGCTGTTTTTTCTGTCATGCAAAGTTAACTTGGCTCAGTAAACCTGAACCAAGCCTCAGCCTTGCAACTTAAAATGGGCATACTCCTTCTTGCAATCTTGTGAGCAGAACAGATTGTTGAAAAGTGAAACCACATGTAAGGAACAAACAAGTGTCTGAACACTTGCTTGTATTGTTATTCATATCGGAGGGTTTACAGTGCAGCTGACCGGTCGTTGGATTATCCTGAATTTGTGGGGGGGAGGGGAAAGCTCCCATGTCTCTTTCAAAATGTTGCTAGTTTTATAATACATCATCAGCTTCCAGGGAGTTGTTTAGCCCTATATGCCTTCTTTTTTCACAGCTGATGCATAGATGTTTCAGTGATAAAATGAATGATAAAACAAATACATTGCTCAAAGTGTACAAATGCCCCCATAGCTCAGTGATTTAGGTATCTGGCCGCAGAACCAGAAACTGAGAGTTTGATTCCCCGTTGTGCCTCTTTGGCAGGGGTTGGATGATTCATAGGGGCCCTTCCAGTTCTGTAGGTCTAAAATTATTTCATTACTATTATTATTGTCTAGCAAGGATGGGGTGAACAGAAGAAACAGAAAGCTGCACTCTGTCTCTAATCCGCAGAGTCTGAAAATAAATGCTATATTTTGTTTTTGATTTTTTTAAAAAAATTCATCACCAGGACTGTCAGAATTTCTCATCCCTATATAGGAAAAAGAGGGAAAAAAGCATGCAGGCACAAAACAAACACCAATAATAGTACTGGCAACTCTCAGTAAGAGTTCATTCCCATATTATAATTTTGAGACACAAGAATGCTTCTGTGACACATTCCAATGTTGTTAAATCATAATATGGGTCAACGGCCCTATGAAAGTATGTTCTATCCTAAGACTTTTGTGGCTTCTAATCACCATAGTGATAGTGTTGATTTAAATCTCAGCAAATTTTATCCCTTAAGAATTAAGAGTTTAGAATACTGAAAAGGAACGGATGTCATGGTACCATTTTTGGAGGAATTAATTCTACACCTGGTGCTTTCCCTGGGCAATTTCCAATCCACACCTGCTCACTTCATCACTTGGTTCTCACCTACGTTTCAGGAGACCACTAAAGTCAAGTTCTCCTGCATCGTCTTGTCCTTCACCGCTGTTATTGATATGAAAAAAAGAGATCAAGTCTTTGTTTAATACCTAGAGAGCCGGACAACACACAATGCGTACACTTTGATGACCTACATATGCAATACTATGTAGACACACAAAAGAGTATACTATGTCAACACAAACATGTGTTCTTTTTCACAGAATTTACAACTCTTGCTAACAAGCATTTGTGAAAAATGAACACAAGAGGTTTGTGTTGCTCCAAGTTACACTTCTTAAGGCAAATTCTTGTAATTCTATGAAGATAAATTTGCCTGAATTTGTGTTAGACGTCTAAATGTTGTGTTAGACGTTTCTGTAACACAAATGAGTTTCAAGGGGAGTCAGCACAAAGGGCTTTGTTTTTTACCTTCTATCACTGTGCCTGCTTAAAAAAGAAAAACAAAAACAAAGAGCTTGTGCTGATCTCAGTTGTAAAATGTAAAACAATTCCAATTGCATTGTTGCTTATACTGTACAGAACAATCCATGGCCATATAAAATATAAACCACTAACACTGAGTTTCTTTTGAGTTGTCAAGAAGGAAAACCTTAGCCATCAGAAACCTATTCCTTATACACAGAAATAATTGTGCTATATGGTTTTAAAAGATGGGACAGAGTTATGGTGAGTTGGGTGATGAGTTAAAAGGAGGTTAAATGATTTCTAAATGCATTGAATCATAATACCCTGTTTCCCCAAAACCTAACCTGAAAATACTCCCTAGTATGATTTTTCAGGATGCTTGTAATATAAGCCCTACCCCAAAAATAAGCCCCAGTTAAATGAAACGCTGCCCTCCACCATTGTGCAGCAACCAGAAGAAGATGACATGACTGCATTTGAATAAAGGTAGATTGTTGTACATGAATAAAATGAAGCATCCCCTGAAAATAAGTTCTAATGCATTTTTCGGAGCAAAAATTAATATAAGACGCTGTCTTATTTTGGGGGAAACACGGTAGTTATATAGCAATATTTATAGACAGGGCTTAGTGTATTTTGTACATGTAAAGAATCACCAAACTCCATAAATTTTCCATCCTGATGGAAATGCAGTATTTGTGCAGATGAGGAATTGGTAATGTAATAGGTGCTTAGTCCTCATGTTTTGCATAGTATGTTTTTTTTAAAAAAAATTAACATATAGTCTGTTTCTGATGAAAAAGAGAAGATAAGAACAGGGAAGAGTCCTATATCATCAGGGAATAGGACAGAAGTGCTCTGAACAGTTTTCTCCCATTACTCTTGTTTTTCTCCTGAACGCTGCTGTGCATCCAATCACCATCCAATTAAGTTCATTACTTTTAAAAGCAGTTGCTCTATCTTTTACAAAATGATGATGATGATGATGATGATGATGATGATGATGATGATGATGATGATGATGACGACAACAACAACAACAACAACAACCATTATCATCATCATCATCATCATCACCAGAAATGATCTTAGAAGGAAAACAGATTCGATGAAGCGACTTGTCTAATTTATTTTGAAAACAGGATTTGGATATATTTTTTCTGGGACAGAATATGCACTTTTTTGGGGGACAGAAGCTTCACTCTGTAGCAAAAGAATACCCAAAGCCCTGTTTACAAAAAGAAGAGGTTACGGAAGTTAAAGTGAAGGTGATGGTGCCATTAACCATTGCTTTTCCCCACAGGGCAGCCCGGCTTCTGTGTCTTCAGAAGATCCCGTCCTATTTCCATCACTCATGGAAAGAGTGCTTTTCTTCACAAAGAGTGTCGTCCAAGTAAAATGAGGATGTCCCTGGTCTAGAAGATCGGGGAGGGAACTGGGGGAACTGAGGAAGCTGTTATTACTGCATCTTCCTACAGAACCAAATACTTGACCAAGAGTACATCAAAGGCATATGCTATGTTAGAACAGAAGGAAGAGGCAGGATCACCTGTGGATATTAATTGGACCAGCAAAGTATTCATGATCCCAGAAGGTTCAGATTTTGAAATGGTTTTCATCACAGAGGAATGATACTGTATTATTGTAGTATTAATATATTAGTAATGTGGAAGATTCTTAACACAAAGAAATTTTAACCAGGATCTTTTTTAAAAAAAACATTAATACATTCAGCAAATCATAAATCAGATTTCATCTTTCCTTTTTTTAGAGTAACTGTTCTCCACTGGCTGCCTCTGTGAACTGGTCTAATGGGTCAGAGTACAGTAATTTTAAGAACTGGGCACCCAGGATACTGTCTTGTACCTGCCCATCTATTGTGGACTCTGGCTCATTATCCATAATAAATAATGGCATACTACTTTTTTCCCCTTTTTGCTTAGAGCTGGAAAAGTTGCCTTTTTGGACTACAACTCCCAGAATCCCCAAACAAGAGTCAGCGGCCATATCAGCATAAGGATTCTGGGAAAATAAGCATTTCTAATCTCTGTTGTTGTTTTTTTGCCTTGTTTCTTACAGAGTAAAGATGTCACTGGCCTGCCGTAGATCAACAGATTTAGTGCAACTCCAATTAAGTTCTAATGAAAAGTAGTGGTTTTCCCCAGAAATTTCTGTATCTTGAGAAGATCTCCACCAAATCCTTCAGGAATCTTTCCTAAAACCCATAGGTGCTTCCAGTGGCAAACCCAGATACCTCGTGTTCACATTTAAACATTCATCACCTGCTGCAGTACTAACATATTTGGTGCACTGAGTGAACAAGAGAATAAGAGAAGTAGGGAAAAACAGAAAGAAGGAGGTCTGTTAACATCATGCCAGATGGTAGAATTGGTAGGGAAGGTTATACTATTAAGAAATGTGTGGATAGAAATGTGTGAGATGATGAAACAAAACTTTAGAAGATCCATATTGCAAAAATCTCATGACATCTGTAACATTCAAAGTCTAGACAAATAAAGTTTTACCAAGTACCGTATTTTTCGCTCCATAAGACGCACCTTTCCATAAGACGCACCAATTTTTTAGGAGAAGAAAACAGGAAAATCAAAGGGAATGACTAGTGAGATGATGAAACAAAACTTTAGAAGATCCATATTGCAAAAAATCTCATGACATTTGTAACATTCAAAGTCTAGCCATATAACGTTTTACCAAGTATTTTTAAAAAATCCATACGTGCATACCTGACATTCCAAAATATTCCTAACTGTCAAATTTGGGGTAGCTTTTCAGGTGTATTTTGGGGAAATCTTACTCATCTTCCCCCCGGTGCGAAAAATACGGTATTTTTTAAAAATCCATATGTGGATACCTGACATTTCAAAATATTCCTAACTGTCAAATTTGGGGTAGTTTTTCAGGTGTATTTTGGGGAAATCTTACTCATCTTCCCCCCTCACACACACACACATATGCAGAGATTATGGGACTTTCTTCTTGTAAGACAAGAGTGGGCCACTTATGATTCTCCAGATGCTTTTAGACTGGAGCTCCCACCAGCCTTGGCTAGCATAGCCAATTATGATACATGATGGGAGCTGCAGACAAGCAATGGGTGGAGGGCCACAGGTTGCTCACCACTGATATAAGGTATTTAAGACGCAAGAATGCCAGCATTTGTAAACAGGTGTCTACAGTTTATGCAGATATTCACATCTGCCAAGAAAATGGTACTATGAGCACAGATGGTACAGCACAAATAATAAAGGGATGTCATCCTATAGATTGTAGATATTCACTGGTGTTACATCTGAGTTTTCAGCTGTTCCTCAGATCTGTCTGAAATTATCAGTATTTACATGTTAATTTGACATATTTCAACATTTTTCCCATTCACTGTAATATACATTCGGACAACTACAGGGACTGTGTTTTATTTATTTATTTATTTATTTATTTTATTTATATCCCGCCTATCTAATCAATTAAGATTACTCTAGCTTATGTGTGGCATAAGCTAACTCATGGTGAGCAATTTGTACACAGCAAATCATGCAGTGCCTTCAGGGTTTTTGCTGCCAACTTTCTCAGTACATGTCTGTGGTAAGATGGCAACAACCTGCGTACGATTGCACTTGCTGCATACAAACAGCTGAGCTCCACTTCTGGAAATGGTGTGATGTAATTAACCACACATCCACAGGGCAAATATAGGTGACATCCAACAGCTCACTTCTGCTAATGGAAGCTGCTTCCACCAGCAGACACATGATGGGGCAACCCCCTCCTCTCTACTATGGTCTTCTGTGCACCTAAAATCTACTCCAGAGAACTGGGAAATCCTCTGCAGATTTTTGTGCTGTGGGAGAATGCATGCCATTGGAAAAGGGAAGACATTATCCACTAACATTAGTGTCATATTGAATTTAACCCATAAACTGTACACCAGTTACAAGAAACAGTGGGGATCTTTCAGAAACACAGTCTAGAACTGTTAGCACTGATATCTTCCTTTGTGACATTTATTCTGGCCTCAATTTGCTGAGCTGTTCTACAGGCTTGACACAGGCTTTTCTTTCTATTGCTTTCCACTTTGTTTCAATCTCCTTGCTCTAATCGGTCTTCAAAAACATTGCAGGGTGTATGATTGTTTCAACAGCCACTACTGGAGGACTTTCTGAGACTACTACTTTAGTTACCTTCTCTTGAATGCAGATCGGATATCTATGGATGGCGTAGAGGATGTTTCTACAAATAAAAGCAAAATGTAAAGTTAGTATTTGTAACTTGCAAAGTGCAATGCACCTATTCTTTTTAATTCCATTTCCCCTTCTACTTTAGTTCACGTTCAGTTTTGAAGAAACAGTAGAAAACCAACATGGTTCCTATCGGTCTTACACAAAATGCTAGCAATATATGACACTGAATATACAGTGTGGAGTTCAGCCTTATTTCTTTCTTCATTCTAGAGTTAACATGCAGATCATAAATAAATAAATAAATAAGATCAGCATTATTATACATGAGTAAAGTTGAAACCTCCAACGCAAAGCCATCCCTCTGCCCCCATAAATGCAACCCTTCCCAGGCTTAAAAAAGGGGGAAAAAGAACTTGCTGAAATTCTTGGGGCCAATAAGAAAAGGGAAGTTAAGGAAAGTTGTAGAAACCATGCTGAGAATTGGTTAAAGGTTGGAATACAGATGGCCAAGATAAATAAAACACATCTGTAAAATCTGTGCATAGTAGTGAAACATCGCCAGGCAATAATAAAACAGTGACTCATTCTGTGAATTAGTATAAACCATCCATACTCTACTTGTGCAGAATCAATACTCAAGGAAAGGCATGCCCATAGTACGATCACTATTGTAAAGGTATGTGATTCTTTTACAGCTATATGCTTAGAGATGCTGAACCTCAGTTCCCCTTAGCCCTCGGTGACCTTGTCAATTATGAGACATGAGTTGTAAGTCCCCCACTCCTAGTTTAGAGATGTGACCACAACAGGTTATTGATGGTCTATAATGAGCTCTACTTTACCATATACCGTATTTCTCCAAAAGTAAGACAGGGTCTTATATTAATTTTTGCTTGAATTAGGGCTCATTTTCAGGGGATGTTTTATTTTTTTTTTCATGTACAACAATCTACAACAATCAAATATAGTCATGTCATCTTCTGGTTGCTGCACAATGTTGGAGGGCGGGGATTCACTTAACTAGGGCTTAATTTGGGGGGTAGGTCTTGTTTTCAGGGAAACAGGGTAGTTGTATGATTCTCCCTGCAGAAGGATTCTCCCTCCCTCAGTGTTAAAGAAAAAGTAACAGCCATTTTAGAAGTATTGATAGGCTGAAGTGGTAAAATGCTCCATTCTCCTTACCTTTCATTTCAGCATGATTTGTTTTGTAATTGGTCTTTGAAAGGTAAACACAGATTTAAGATGCAAGGTTGATTGCTCTGAGGAAATCATGGTGTAGTAGGAAGAACAGGCTAACAGTAAAGAATACATGTTTCTTTCAATGTCTGATTTGACCCCCAATTTACACAGATATTGTTCTGGATGGCAACTAGATCTTTGAAGTTACTTTAATCTGGAGCTCTATTTTGCCAGCACCTATGTCCAGTGCCCATGCACCAGCTGAGAGTAGCAGTGCAGTCCTGGCAGAAAGCATCATCTATTCTGCAGCATCAAAAGTGAAGGCTGTGTTTAGATTCCTTATTACAGAAAAGTGGAGGAAATGTCTTCTGTGCATGTGGTTAGATATTAGAACACTGAAGAATTTTATGAAGGTTCTCATTCACTTATCCTAGCATCCAATTATTCTTTCAATATGCAGCTTGAAAAAGTTGATTTTGGACTACAACTGCCAAAACCTAGGGTCATGCTGGCTTGGAAATTCTGGGAACTGTGATCCAAAGAAAACAACTCTTTTAAGATCTGCTCTTGTCAAAAGGAACTTCCTATGGGATATCAGTTGATATGAACTTTTGTTTGTTACGGATAAATATAACACCGGAATAAAGGAGAAACAATAGGGTGGTATGATCACAAAATCTATATAAATGAGATTTTAAACATCTGTTCTGGACTTCTCTTCATAGATGAAAATGCAACTTCTGGCAACAGTCAGTAAGAGATCTGAATGTGGAGTCAAATTTCAGCCAGTGTAAATTAGCCATGTAATCAGATAAAAACAACTCACTCCTATAGAAAGTTTATGCATGCAGACAGACTGGCACCTTGCCTGCATGCTACTGAATGCACACAGACTGTGAGGCTTGTCTAGTTAATTGGCAGTCAGCTGCTGGACATTCCGTTAATTGTGTCCTGCCTTCCTGGCTGATTAATGAGCACTCTGACCTTGGTAATTTGGTAGCCTTGTTTTGCTAGGATGAACATATATTGGGTTAGCTGCCAGGAGGCTCAGATATTTGGGAAAGCTTGCCTAGAAGTGTCTGGTGTTTGAAACACAGGGCCAGGTGACCAGGATAAAGGACCCAACAGCAGTGTTCTGAGGGGCAGACAAGGCCCTTTGCTCTTGGACAATCTTTATCCCTTTCACTGCCCTTGATCCATAAAAAAAAGAGCTATTCATGTATCAAGTCTTGTAAGAATCTACGAGGCTTGATATACTATGAGGTCTTGCTCTTACAATTATTCTATAATCTTCCAGAGTGGAAATTTGGTATTTCCAAAGCTTCCAAGTTAGGACAAGCTTTCAATGTAGCTTTAAAAATCCCACTAAATTGTAGAACTGGATTTACTGTGAAGGTGACATCTCCATCCCTCATCTAGAACAAGCAGCTGACAAATCTAGAGCCAAATAACTATCAGAGACAGTGTTACAGAGCCAGTTTGGACGAGGCAGTCCGAAATATTTTGAGGTGAGGAACGAGGTCACTGGACACCATTTCATGCTCAGAAGACTTATGGGAATGTTGGTTAAATTCAGAGCAAGAAGCATGACACACACAGAGCTCTGTTTTCCAATAACTACTTTTTTCATAACTACTGCTTAACCTCTAAGTACTGCCACCTGAGGCAGCCAATTCGCTCTGTCTAGGGGTAGGGCCAGGTTATTCTGGAGAAATTTAGTGAGGGATATACTACAGCAGAGATATCGACTGTATAACCAAATGTATTCCTATAATAAATAAGTTTAATATGCTTTGGTGAAATCTTCCTCACTCTTTCTCTTGTTAAGATATAGACGTTGGCTTCCAACAGGAAAAGGGCTGTGATAGTCCAGGATCTTGATAAACATTTTCTGTTGGGGAGTCATGAAGGACATGTGAGAGAGAAAAAAAATCTTCCCTGGACCTGGGATGAAGCAAGGGAAAACCTTTCCTATGACCTACAATCAGAGATACTGTACATTGTAAGAGTTTGGAACTGTCAACACTGCCATCTAACATGGACTTTATTCCAGATATAAACTATAGCTTTCAACAAGCTTCTCAAATAATTGCTTCAGGAATTTTATATGATTTCACTGACTGAAAAGTATGTTCTGCGATATTTCCAGCCTATTGGAACCATGTGAAAGAACCAACTCACTTTAAAAGAGGATTACACAAATCTGCAACAGGGAGGGGTCTTAACTCATAATGCCATATGATCCTTCACATGTGGAGGCAGGATGCTACTGAAGGACAGGTGCTGGGGAAAACAGGAACAGGAGAGGAGGGCTATTTCTCCTGCTTCTGGACTTCCTTGAGGTGTCTTGTTTGTCATGGTGGGAAAAAGAATGCTCTGATGGGGGGGTCTACTATGTACTTGGGTAGAGGGGTTCCCCTCAGAGGGCTCTTCCTCTTGTCCCTTACAGAGCAATAGTTTCCAGGATTTCCAGGGAGAAGGGGGCTAAATTAACGTGGTTTTTTTCTCTCTTGCAACTTTAGCCCTCATCTCTAACTCTTCTCTTTTACCATTTATTTTCTGTTTCTTACCCTCTCCTGAGTCATTATACATTATTTATGTATAATGCCTAGTATGTTAATACTAATACCAATACTAAGTTGTAGATATGGTCTACCACGGATGTGTTTCTCTGGCTTATACTACATATAAGCCTGAGAAATCACCATAACACAATGTCTGCCATTGCTAGTGCTAAAACCATGGGCTACAGACCAGCACTTTGTTAAAGACATTCTTCAGTCAATGCCTGATGTGGAACCCAAGGCCAGTCCAGGGAGGTGTGCTGCCTGAGGCAAGCAACAAACAGTGTACCCTTCACCCAAGTCAAGATAGATAGTACCCATTTCAGCACTTGTGGTGAAAATCATATAGCTGCTTCTCCCATTCCTTAGCAGTAAAAGGAAAATAATTGGTTAATATTTAACCAGCATTGCCCCATCAGCTGCCTGAGGCAACTGTCTCACACTGCCTAATAAGAAGGCCAAAACCAGTCACAGGCCTCATGCTGTTGGCAGGTCCAGCCCCAATTCATCTTAAGTTCTTTGTGGCCAAATTTGGTATAGGGAAAGAGACCAGAAGGACACTACTTGTGCCCGCTTCTCACTAGCACATTCTGGGCTCCATATTGTCTTTCCAAACAAGATCCAAGAAAATCTCATTGGTTTCTAAGGTCTGTAATAGCAATTTTAAAAAAAGACAGTCTTTAACAGAAATATGTTAAGGGGAACATTAAACCCATATACATATCCTGGTGAATATATGAAAGTGCCTTAGAAGTAAGTATAGTAAGAAAAAGGCATGGTGAGTAGATCTGATAATGAGTCCCAATAATTATTTTATTCACCTGATTGTTTTATTTACCCTGTTTGTATTTAAAATAAACCTTATTCTTTTATTGTTTAAAAATCCATCCCTGGTCTGTGTGACTTATTATAGGGAATGGTTGGTGGCAGCTTAGTAACTGTGTGATAGATCCCAGTAGGTCTGGGTTTGTCACAGTGAGTAGATCTGATAATGAGTCCCAATAAGGAAATGTTTGTATTAAAGAAATAAAACATAAAATAGACCCTTACCATGGACTTCCAGATCAAAAGAGCAGCTATCAACTTTATCTTTATATGTGACTTCACACCTATAATTTCCTGCATAGTTTTCTTTTGCTTTAATGATTTGCATCTCAAATGTATACATCTGAAATCCAAACATACAGTGCTCTCGTTATTATAAATATAGGGAAATAATAAGGGGTTAAACATACACATACATGTATGCAAAGAACATATCTCACAATAATTTACTATTCTCAGAGATGGATGCATATGTCTACTAAGTCAGTGGTTCTTAACCTTTGTTACTCGGATGCTTTTGAACTGCAACTCCCAGAAACCCCAGTCAGGACAGCTGGTGGTGAAGGCTTCTGGGAGTTGCAGTCCAAAACTCATGAGTAACCCAAGGTTAAGAACCAGTCTACATTAACCCATAACTTTAACAAAAGAGAAAGTCCTCCTATAACACATTTTCTCACTCCAAATTATTTAAACACATTTTATATGTTTAAACTGTTGGATCACAACACGCCATACATGTGTTAAAAATTAGGAGTCTCTTGGGAAAAAATCAGGTGGAAATCCTTCATTTGGTGCTCATTGTTAAATACGCAAGGTTTCAAACCCAAAATGTTCTGGAAGCCCAGGTGGACTCGGTGGTCAGGGGCGCCTTCCTTCATCTGCAGAAATTGTACCAGCTACGGCCCTACGTACGAGTGGAGTCTCATGACAGTTACACACACACTGGTAACATCTTGTATAGAGTACTGTGATGCACTCTACGTGGGGCTGCCTTTGAAGACGGTCCAGTGATTGCAACTGGTCCAGAATTGAGCTGCGCGGCTGGTGAGTGGTGGGGCCACTAGAGAACACATCAAGCTGATTCTTTTTAAGTTACATTGGTTACCAGTTGCTGCCCGGGCCCAATTCAAAGTGCTTGTTTTGACATATAAAGCCCTAAACGGCTTGGGCCCTGGATACCTGAAGGACCACCTCCTTCCATATGAGCCTACCCAGCAGTTAAGATCTAGCCAGGGGGCCCTTTTGAAAGAGCCGTCCCTCAAGGAGGTAAGAGGGATGGCTTGTAGACAAAGGGCCTTTTCGGCAGATGCCCCCAGACTATGGAATACCCTCCCGACTGAAATTCGTCTGGCGCTGACGTTTATGACATTTCAGCGCCAGGTCAAAACCTTCCTGTTCCAGAAGGCTTTTAATTGAAATAACATCAACTATAGGTCCTGATGGCAATTTTAATTGTATTTTAATCATTTTATCTTTTATTTATTGTAATTGAATTTTAATTGTTGTAAGCCGCCCAGAGACCTTTGGGTAGACTGGGCGGCATATAAGTTAAATAAATAAAATAAATACAGTATAAATAAATAAAAATGTTAAGGGTTATGTACTCAAAAGCCTTAGGGCTAGATGGACAAATGAATCTGTACATTTGGGTTTTCCCACAGAACTTTACTGTCAGACTTTATCTATTCTGAAATATTCTTTCCAGATTCTTTCCACTTGTGAATTTCAAAAGATATCTCTAAAAAGTGAACTGAAACAAAATTCTCACCAATCACATCCTAAGCAGGCTATATATAATACTTTAAAACAAATACATTTTAAAAATGAGGCTAACTGAGGCCAAGTTCATGTACCTGTTATGCAGAAAACCAGCATTTCCATGAAAGAGAAGGAACATTCCTCTCTATGACTACTTCAGATATATAACTTGTGAAAATATCTATGACAGCCTTCCCAAATGCCTTCAGCCTTCCAGACAGCCTTCTGCTATCTAGACCACATTTCTTATTATTCTTAACTACTGGCCCTGCTTGTAGGGACTGATGAGAGTTACAGACACAAAGATCTGAAGGACATCACTTTGAGAGGTTATGATCTACGAATTTCAGTGCTTACCCTATATTTTCCTTCTCAAGAAATGCAAAATGACAACTAACTGTTGGTTGTGAATGGACTAAGTGAGAGATCAGTAGGGAATGCTATTGGAAAAGGGTTAAGGAGGCCCTCCTCTGCTCAGTCTATGAGCTGCCTTGGAATTAACTGCTGAATCTCATGTCTTTCAACTACCAATTCTAAACCACAAAAAAGTAAAAGTAATCCATAGGTACCTTCGTTTGGCGTTCAAATGTCTCTTTTAGCTGAAGGTGCTTCCCTACTTTGCTTGCCAAGTCCATCCATTTCCCTTTGAACCACTTCACTGTTGGCTTTCTGAGAAGATCCTGGGCTTCTACTTTGGCTATAAATGTGATATTTTGCCCTTGGGGAGAAAAAGATTAAAATGGTTTAACATGTGGCTTCCTATCATACATATATTTAGTAACTGGTGACAGCATGCACACAAATATTCTAAAGACCAATTCAGTCCATCAGCAACATTGGCCACAATCCAGCTCTCATAATTCCATCAGCATAAATTTTCAGCAGTGAATTACCACAAGTTAATAAATTTGCACAAGCATTTGCTATTGGACATCATGGTACAATATGGTGATTTCTTAACTTCTAGCAATTTACTGTGAAATTTATGCTGAGAGAATTATATCAGCACAAATGTGGAATAGGATTCCAGTCATTGTATAGTTAGAAACGGACCTGTCACACTTGACAAAAACTGAGCAGTGGCCACCAGTTGCTGCATGACTCCATTATCAGCATGGCAAGCATTTTCTCCCTAACCTCGTTTGCCTAAAATGAATGTAACCTATCAGCTAGACTAGATAACGACATCTGCAGCTAGAAATAGTGCTCCCTGATGTGATTAAAAATCATCTAATTACTCTAGTAATTAGTGTTTCTCGCTCTGAATGTTGCAGATTAGCTCATGTTTTATGACCAACTTTCCAGAGCAAAACATTGGGTTCATTTACAAGTTTGATTGCTCAGCCACATGGCTCTCAGGAAATAATGTAACTGAAGATCAACTGTCCCATCAGTTATTAATTACAAACCCAGCGTCCCATGTAGCTTGACCCTACATGCTGGAAGTACAGTTCTCCTCCTCGATCCAGCAGTTGTGATGGGCACATGAAGCAACCTCTTTTTGAAAAACTACAATCCCATAAATTCTCTATTTAGAAGGGGTAGTAGAAAAGCTGAGCACAATTCCTTCCCTTCCCTTTTCTCTTTCAAATACTTTGCTACCTTTTATTATCTAAAATTGGATTCTATTGCTTCATATATCTCCTTTAGATCAGTGGTCCTCAACCTTGGGCCTCCAGATGTTCTTGAACTACACCTCCCAGAAGCTTTCACAACTACCTCTGCTGGCCAGGATTTCTGGGAGTTGAAGTCCAAGAACATCTGGAGGCTCGAGGTTGAGGACCACTGCTTTAGATCATCCTTTAGATGAGGACTCTGAATACACATCTCAGTACATTAAAAGCTCAAGAACTTTATAGGATATACCCTAATCAACACATTTTCTCAGATGTAAGGCCAATTGGGCTAATTAGGTGTTATCTATAGGCAAATGCATACAGGGCAGTCTTTAAAGAAAGAATGTATATTTTATTCATTGATACAGAATTTGGAAAAATGAATTCCTGGGCTACATCTCTTCAATAACACAATTAGCATGGTCACTGTTTCGTAATCCAAACAAGTAATGTTTTCTAAGCTCTGTATTTTTATTTATAAAATAATGGACATCCCATGCTTCTGGTGCTTACACACCACTGAGGACGGCTAAGTAATAATTAAAACCACATAAAATACAGTAGCATTCTAAAACCAAAACCAAACAGAATAAAGTTAGATAGTGCAGATAAAAGATTATTTGATGGGTATTTATTTATACTTATTTATTTAGAGACACTTACCAACGCTAATTGAGCCACCCTTTGGTTTTTCAACAAATAAGATGGACTTCTGAGAGTTGTCCTGCTTTTCTGTTTCTTCCTGTGTACCTGCTCCAGTAGACCGTATAAGGGGGAGAGGAGAAATATTACTTTATTAAATGCTTTTAAAAACTCTTACCCCTAATTTGTCCTTCCCTTCACAGCTATTTAGAAATTCTTATATTGCCTTCCTAATTTGCCAGTTAATGCTATATGTATTTGGCTCCGGCACTGTTGCATACATTTGACTATAGGAACCCTCAGACAAGAACTGAGAGAAATTTAAGATATACCAGAATACAACTTAATACAGCTTTTATTTCAAGTGCTTGTAATTAATGTTTTGTTCCTCCAATACCCAGTTTGGACCACGTATATTCATCTATGAGAGTATTAGTCCCGTAAAGAAGGAGTGGGCAAAGTGTAGCTTTGTGGCCCCTAAGCTATTTTTGTACCACACCAAAAAAAACAAGGAAAAGTAGAAAAGTAGCCCTAAGCTCTGTTATAAAAAGTAGCAAACTGGAAAAGGTACTATTTGGGGAACTAATCTTCCCAGAATCCTCCTGTCAGCATTGCCACTAGCACTATGTCTGGGATTTCTAATAATACCTACCCCAACTTTGGTAAAAGATTGTGGCTTGAGCTTAATGGCACATAGAAAGCTTTCTTTCAGGCCTGTATTTCATTAATTACATTATTCCTAGTTGGTTTACACCCTAACAGATTGTGGCTTGAGCTTAATGGCACATAGAAAGCTTTCTTTCAGGCCTGTATTTCATTAATTACATTATTCCTAGTTGGTTTACAATTTAATCCTGGGGAAAAACAATACCCTGAAAATAACATGAAGATATAACCTTGTGAGTCGGTGGTATGCAAAACACCACATAAAATATCATGATGGTTCTGATTTATAAGGAATTGTGGACAGGATCTTATTGGTAGCCCCAACCAGATGAGACCCACTTAAGTACCTCTCATGAATTCAGTGGGTTGAGACTGCCAGTAGGATTTGGGCCTGCACATTTTGTAAAAGAATAAAATAAAAGTTGGGTGTACATATCCAAGTGTGTCAAAATAAGATGTGACTTTCTGTTCTTGTGAGGGTTTCTTTCTTTCTTTTTTCATTCCCACTGTAAAGATTAGCAGCTATATATAATAAACAGAGGTCTATGACTTGATTTTCCTCATCTATCCTCTATAACAGTGGTTCCCCAACCTTGGGCCTCCAGATGTTCTTAGACTTCAGCTCCCAGAAATCCTGGCCAGCAGAGGTGGCGGTGAAGGCTTCTGGGAGTTGTAATTCAAGCACATCTGGAGGCCTAAGGTTAGGGATCACTGCCTATAACATAGCTCTGATTTGGAGTACCAATACACATTTTTGTACAGCAGAGCTTTTTGTACAGCAGAGCTTTATGTGATCACAGGCATCTGTTTTCACTCCAGTGAAGTGAAGCCCTTGCTCATTGAGAGCTCTGTCTGTCAACCTAAACTTAAGTAACCTTTGAAGCAGGAACATTACCTATAACGGAAACAAATATGAAATAAAATATAAAAGGTTAGCATGAGATAGCATATAAAACTAGAAACCACAACAGTCAATGCTAAAGAAAGGTAAGCTATGAGAAATCAATTGTTAATGGTTATCTTTATTAAGGGAAAAAATGGAATGTTTTGATATCTCCATTCTTCTGTTCTCTTTTAGAAACTCTCACCTGAGTCCTTTCTGTCTCCAGGTTTTGTCACATCTGAAAGGTAAGAGTAAACTAGATAATATGACTTCAAAACTTATATTTGATTATTTTGTTGGTTGTAGATTGTCATCACATGTCAGAAGGGAAACTTTTAGAACATAACTGGCTCAACTAAATGAACAGCAGAAGTGCAGGAGTGAAGGATGTTTTTTTTGGCACAGTCTGAACGTCAGAGATGGGAAATGTTATAAGCCAAATCCAATTGTTAGTCCCAAGAGTAGATCTGTTGAATCAATCAAATTTTGGTAAGTTCTGTTCATTCATGAAGTCTACTTTCACTGGGACTAATAACTGGATCTAGTCCTTGCATTACAACTTGCATTAGAATCGTGCTGTCTATAGAATTCTGGTAGCTATGGTCCGAAAAGGTAACATTTCCCATCCCTGCTGAAGGCCCATGACTGTAGTAACTTTGCAGAAGTTAATCAGCTCTGGATATGATCAGCGCTTAGATAAGGTAATCGGGAAAGCTATGAAATGTTCCTATCAGGACTATGTGGACCTCTGAAGCCAGAGACTCTGGTAAGTCTTAAGTTGGCTCATGCACAAAGAGCAGAAAAGAGGAAGAAGTATAATTTTATTTTCTTTGTCTGTACTAAGCAGTTTTCCTGACGCTTATTCCAATGAGATGAAAAGCAACCACATCAGCTCTGGAGCTGAAATAGTTCTCCCTCTATTACAGTGGATATTGGGAGCACTTTCTGAAGAATGCAGGATTTAGCTTTCCACACTTAGAGGGAAGAACTGAAAAATATAGTGGTTCCTGGAATAGGGACTACAGGTAGGATTGAAACATGCCCCACAAGCTAAAATCTGACAGGGCTCCTTCTGTTTACATGAATGAACTGTGGATCCCATGTTTGTATGATGCACTGAATTCCATCATGTCAGAAAGTCTTGATCTAATTGAAATAAATAAATAACTTTTTGAAAAATATTGTCTTCCTCTTTTCAGATCAGGTATGCCTGTAAACACCTTCATCAAGGCCTCCTGAAGCTCACACTGAAGCCAAACTTTCTACTTTCTTAGGGCACAGTTTTGATAGAAATCAAATTGTAATTGCTCATGAATAGAACATATTTATTCTGGTATCAAGTAAGATTTTTTTGAAGTTCTTCTTTGCTGCATGGAATTCTGTATGGCTAACGATAGGAGACCAGCGTTTGACAATTTATCCTCCATGCATCAGCAAAATTAAACAAAAAAAATATGGAGAAGTCCTCCTAACCTGCAGCTGGAGTATCATCTTCATCTGTAAAAAGAAATATATAATGAATAAAATAAAGCAAGCGAAGAAAAGGAACAATGTAGGTTATCCAATTTTTTTTAGTACAAACCAATATAAACAAGGAACCTGTAACAGAATAAGAAGGATGGGTTGCAGGAACGATGATAGCTGGAAAACTGGTAATGAAAACAGCAAACTGATGGATAAAGCTTTATGGTGATTGAGCGGATGAAATGTCCATTCATATTTTTCACACAGGTACAGGAATGAGATGTGGGATGTAATCTTTTATTAACATGGATTTGAATGAAAGCTTTTGAAGTGATTGTGTTTGTTAGAAATGTCACCCACAAAATAAAAAAAAACTAAAGGGGAGGAAAAGGGAGTACAAAAAACAGCAGGAACACCACAATGAAAATTATGGTCAATCGTAGACCTGACCTTCTGAAGAGGATGTCGTTTCACTGGTGGTCTCGTCTGCAAGTGAAATGTGTACCATGTATACATTCATCACAATTGTTTGTTGTTGTTTTTAAGAAAAGACAATAGGAGTGCTGTAATTAGGAGAAAGAGAAATGGACGCCTACACTAACAAAGACAAAGTGTCAACATTAATTCTTAGATCTCATTCCTTTCAACAGCATAATTAACCCAATGGCTTTCAACTTTTGATCCTCCAACTCTTTTACACAACTCCCAGAATCCTTGACCTTTGGACATGCTAAATAGGGCTTCTGGGAGTTCAGAACAACTGGAAGGTTGAAAATAATACAGTAACCATTCTGTCAAAAAGTTTTGTAAGTCAATACAGCAACAACAACATCCACTTATATTAATCAATCATCTACTATTGCAGAATATACTGAGCAAACAGAGAGCAGCATTGATGAACATACTACTTTCTCTTGAATATTTTGGGCTGCAAGCAATGATGACAGAAATGCTGTTCTGTTACCTGCTGGTTGTATTATGGCACTTGGAGGAAAGCAACTAGCCTTTTTACTCTCAATTTATCACTATATCCACTAGTCAAGTAACATATCTGAGCAGAAAAAAACTTCTGCTCGCATGTAGGCAGTACATGCCAGCAAGAACCTCATTTTTCAGGTTTGTTGCCTGTATGTAGCATCTGTACTTAAGCAGGAGTTTCAAACATGACATGAAGAGAAAGTGAGAAAGACTTTTGGCTGTGCTGATCAAAATTGGGAAGGCTAACATAGGGCGTGGTTTCACTGACAATAAGAACTACTTTTGAACTGGGTTTTGCATACTGTATTCTTTTTTCATTTATAAGATGCCCCCATTTATAAGACACTCTACCCACTTTTCTAACCCCAAAATTAAGAAAATGTAGCTTGGAGTATTCATCCTCTGGGCTCAGAACACTCGGACATTAGGAGTCCCTGTTGAATCTGAGCACTGCCTACAGGCTCCGCCTCCAACCAAGTGTTGTTCCAGTTGGTTTGTTCAGCATCAGCTGATATCAGTTCCACAGGGCGGGTGACTGGAGGAAGTTGAGTATCCTGATTGGAGGCAGCTGAGCCTTGTGAGTGAAGGAAGCCTGTTTATGAAGGCAAGGTATGGGCCGTTTTGTTCTCTCTGTGGTCTCTGCTTACTTCTGTGTAAAAGATGCTCCTAATTTTTAGAGTAATGATTTTAGAAAAAAGTAGCTTCCCAACTACACAACACATGGTGAAGCCCATTTTTGTTTTGGCTGCAAGGAAGAGAGTTTGGCTGGATTTTTATTTGTTAGTGTTTTGGGTTTCCAGAGTAATGTCACTATATAGCCAAGTCACTGAAAACTTATTTTTATGAGAGAGAGAAATGCCTGCATTCCAGAGGATGCCTGAAAGCTGAGGAAATACTGCACAACTTTGAAAACAAATGGGAAAAAGAAGGTTGCAATCACTGGTGATGTCAAAGTCAGCAACAACTGTGAGGTCTGAAAACATGGTGGTTAATGAAACGATTTAAAATCTCATCTGTAGTGTTCTGAAGTGGGTTTAAGCCCCTAATTTATACTGGAAGAATACTACTACTACTACT